GTCGGGGCGCTCAACGCGGCCCTCATTGCCGTCGACTACGGGATCCGCGGCTTTGCGCTGCCCGACGGCCGCCTGTGCCCCGCGGTCCCCGGCCGCGCAGACTACCTGCACGTGATCGCCGACCTGCTCGCGGCCGACAACGGCGGCGGCGTGCCGCGCGGCCCCGCCGTCCGCGGCCTCGACATCGGCGTGGGCGCCTCGTGCATCTACCCGCTCCTCGGCCACGCAGAGTACGGCTGGTCCTTTGTCGCGAGCGACGTCGACGAGAGATCCATCTCGTCGGCGTCCGCCATCGCGCGCGCCAGCCGCACGCCCGTGGAGCTGCGGCTGCAGCCGCGCGGCGAGCGCGTGCTGGCGGGCGTGCTCGGGCCGCTCGACGGCCGCGTCGCCTTTACGCTCTGCAACCCGCCCTTCTACTCGTCGGCCGCCGAGGAGGCCGCCGCCGCCGCGCGCAAGTGGAAGGGCCTGCGGAAGGGCCGCGCCGCGGGGGGCCTCGGCGGCGCTCGCTCCTTTGGCGGCAGCGACGGCGAGCTGTGGTGCCCCGGCGGCGAGCGGCGCTTCGTGACGGCGCTGGTCCGCGAGAGCGCCCGCGCGCCGCACGCCGCGCTCTGGTTCACCTCGCTCGTCTCGAGCGGCCGCTCGCTGCCCAAGCTGCTCGCGGAGCTCTCCAGGGCCTCGCCGGCGCGCGTGGAGCAGCTCGGCGTCGCGACCGGCAACAAGGCGATGCGCGTGCTGGCGTGGAGCTTCCTCGAGGACGCGCAGCGCGGCGAGCGGCTGGCGGCCATGCTCGGCGGCGGCGGCGGCGGCGGCGGCGGCGGCGGCGGCGGCGGCGGCGGCTCGGGCGCCACGCTTGAAAGCGGCCGGCCGGCGCCGCGCCGCCGCGGGGCGGCGCGGCGCTCGCCACGCACGGCGCCGGCCCTGCGGGCGACGCGGCGAGCGTGCGGCTTCGCGTTCGGCGGGGCGCTGTCCCTCGGCCGGCCAGAGCGCGCTCGCGCCGACCTCGCCTCTGCTGGCGCGGGTGGCCTGCCGCTCGTCGGCCGCTTCGAGCGGCTCCAGGGCGCCAACGCCTTCGTCGGCCGCTGGAGGCTCCGCTGCACCGACGGCCCGGCGGGCACGCTGAGCCTGCTGCGCGACGGCGACGTGGAGCTGCGCTCGGAGGCGGGCGAGCTGCTGGGCACGGGGGTCGCCCCGTGGACGTATAGGCAGCGCGAAAAGGGCGCGTCGACGGTGCTCGTCCGCTTCTCGGTCGACGTCTCAGGCGGCGAGTGGGACGTGCTCTACTTCACGGGGGCAGTGGACGCGGAGGGAGGGCCCGGTCGGCGGCTCGAGGGAAGCCTCAGCACCGGCCTCGGCAGGAGGGTGGGCGAGTTCGTGGCGGAGCCATTGTGACGCAACGTGTGCAGTCATGGAATCTCTAGTCTTTCTTAGAGATTGAGAGGAGTGAGACCTGAAGATTTCAGGGCAGATCTCACAGACTCTATAGTCCCGCCCTTGAGATCTCCTAAACCTTCGTCGAGACTTCAGCCACGAAATCTGAGTCTTCCCGTCGCTCGGTGTGAGTTTCTAGAGGAAACGCGTGAGATCTCAAATGGCCAAGATTCCCTTTCGCTTTGGGAGTTTGAGATTTCGATGAGGGGTGGGAGAGACTGAGACTGCAAGCAAGAGAGATTCCGTTTTCTATGGCTAGTGCCACGATTTCACTCTGACACGCTAATCTTGAAAACGTCTCCAACGGAGCTCCGTCCGTGTTGCTTCCAGCGCCCTCCCCCGCGCTCCCTGCGGCCATGGCCGATGCTCCTAGAAAGAGAGGTCATCTGGCTACCGCGAGAGCGACCCAACTCGTCGACATCGTCCGATGATGGTGCCGCAAAGTCAGCCTTCGGAGGCTATCGTGGGGTCGAGCCGGCAGTAGCCGTGACATGTGGTTCCACCACCCCTCGTAGGCTTTGCCTCTGACCGCCACCGTTCCCAGGCTGCCTAATTGGATGGAAAGGAAGGCTCGGCGAGCGTATAGAAGCGTGCTCGACCTCGTCGTGGCAACCTGTACGGCAGCGCTGGTAGGCGCGATGAGCGTCGTGCCACCTGACCCGAGACGGGTCGCAGGCGTCGTACCGAGCGCGTCGAGACCGTGTCCTGATGTGATCTGCACGGGTGAGTCACGTCGGCGTCAAAGGAGCGACGTGCGACCTGTCAGAGCTTGATCTCCAATCTCAGCGGCGTCGAGTCGTCTCCGGCGGCGACAATTTTGTCCCTCCCCAGGACGCACAGAGGCAGCTGAGATTGGAGATCAAGCTCTGACAGGTCGCACGTCGCTCCTTTGACGCCGACGTGACTCACCCGTGCAGAGTACATCAGGACACGGTCTCGACGCGCTCGGTACGACGCCTGCGACCCGTCTCGGGTCAGGTGGCACGACGCTCATCGCGCCTGCCAGCGCTGCCTTGCAGGTTGCCACGACGAGGTCGAGCACGCTTCTATACGCTCGCCGAGCCTTCCTTTCCATCCCATTAGGCAGCCTGGGAACGGTGGCGGTCAGAGGCAAAGCCTGCGAGGGGTGGTGGAACCACATGTCACGGCTACTGCCGGCTCGACCCCACGATAGCCTCCGGAGGCTGACTTTGAGGCACCATAATCGGACGATGTCAACGAGTTGGGTCACTCTCGCGGTAGCCAGATGACCTCCCATACTAGTATCATCGGACATGGCCGCAGGGAGCGCGGGGGAGGGCGCTGGGAGCAACACGGACAAAAAAAATCAAAATTCATCATGTTGACATTTTTCCACAGCACCCGTATTTGCAACTAGTCTTTGAGTTTGCTCCGCGAGGTAGAGATAGAGTATATCTTGTATCTAGATCCATCAGCATTTATTTGCTCCGAGGTATAGGTAATAGGATAGACTGTACAGAAATCTATAGGCAGTCTACACAAAGTGGCGAAGGGTGGCTATAATAATATAAAAGAGGCGGGAGTGGGGAGAGTGTGCATGCTGGGCGGGCAACTACGCGGCGATTGTCTCACGCCTCGGACCTCAAGTTGTCGAGCACGCCTCCCAGAGAGAGCCCGGTGGCGAGGGCGAGCAGGACCGGGAAGATGAGGACCGCCGAGACCAGGTCGCCCCAGACGGCGATCCCCGCGACGCAGCGCATCCGGAGGCGCTCTAGCTTGCG